AGGATGAAGCAGGGCAATTCATTCCTCCATGGCCTGCGTTGTTTTTGGAGGCAAAGGCAGACATTGGGAAGACCAATGTCATTTTCCATGGAACTGGGCTGTGCTGGGGTTTGCAATGCTGTCTGCCTCCTGGCCTCTTCCTTCCAGGTGTTGAAGGCAGAAAGTAATCTTCTGTGAAGAAGCTTGATAATTTTAAATAACAGAAAGCAGTCTTCCAATCCACTGTGCTTTTGGAAGTACTGGTCCCCATCTAGTTCAGCTGGCGGATGAGTTGACTGATGTGTTCACTCCTGTATCCAGAAGAGCCCTCGCTAGTCTTGGTAGCATGACAGGCCACAGAGAGGTGGAAAGGGCACAAGAATGAAGAGATATCCTGGAAATGCTCCCCAGGGAAGGCAATTTCATGGATGAGGTCTTCCAGGCAAATGACAACAAATCTCCCCAGGTGCTCCTCAATCACTGTGTTGCTGTCAGAGGGACATTCTTCTTGTTAATCTTTGCTTGTCTGTGTTTGAAGATGACTTCCTAGACAGACTTCAGATTTGGAAATTCCCAGGTCACTTAAGGCTCCACTGTGCGCAGCATCTTCACACTTTGAGGGGTGACAATGACGAAGACACCACCGAACAATTTCTTCAAGCGAAGCTTTCCTATGTTCTTCTGTACCAATAAACTCACTCCTTCGGTCCTGAAATGAACAGCTGTTAGCATCTGACTCCAGTCTGTGCTAGTCTGTTTGACAAGCAATTCTGAAATGCACTGCTGTTACTGGATACACAGAATTCATCTTAGAGTTCAGTGTAGTGGAAGGCAGCCTGGAATCAGATCATTTTTCCATTATCGCTAAGTGATTTTTTAATGCTACACATACATGTGACTGGGGGATGTAGAAGAGCAATGCTAGTCTTAAGTAAATTACAATGCTGCAACTTGAGCTGTGATGCTTCTTTGCCGATTCTCTCATTTGTGGTGAAGGATTTACAAGTAGGAGCCAAATTTTAAAAAAAAAGTGGTTTCCCTAGGAAGCAAATACACTGAATTCTTGTTCTGAGAGCTAAACAAAACAAAGGAATTTCCCGTGTTTCCCTGGGAGCCTATGCTCAGGGATGACTCAAGAGTCATTTGGGACAAATCAAGGGCACTTGTACTGCCCATAGCCATTTGTGCTTTGGTCATTGTGATGTCTCAGAGAAGTTGGAACTAAAAACATATCCTTTCGAGAGAATTTAGGAAGTTTCCAGAGTGTGATTCTTCAAGCCATTAATGCCACTTTCCCCCTCATTTTTGTAGTTTGGCTTCCCCTCTGAGACGAGCCTTATCAGCAACACTCTGGAGACCCAGTGTCCTCTGACAATGTTTGATTCTCATGGTGATTCATTGTGATCCACTCGTCACAGAGCCCACTGTGGAGTTTTGCTCATTTTCAGGAAGAATGGCTTACCTATGGAGCAGTTCTCACAATTTCAGGGAAAAAAGAAGAGAAGAAGAGAATGTTGGGCACATAGCACCATGTCACAAAGGCCTCAATTTATTAAGAGATGTCACCTGGCTGCCCTTCTCAGTGTGCTTTAAAAAGGATGTCATTAGAAATGGAACTTCAAGGTGACATAAACCATAGCAATCAAATTCTGTTAGGAAATGGCACCCTAGATAAATTTAGAGGAAAATGCCCAAATTTTCCATTTCCTGGCCATTACTAATATGAATATGATAATTGCTGACAACCAATTCACTGTTTGGGGGTTTTGTTTTGTGTGCTCTTTGGGGGCTTTATTACTTATGAATAATTATCCCTCTTATCATATATACTTAAAATAAGTAAATTATTCAGCAGAGTTTCATAATTAGTTTAAATTAAATTACATATTCTTCTAGGAAGCCTCCATGTGGCATTTTTAACTTTCCCACTTGTAACTCCTCTCAGATAACCTTAGGAGGAACTCAAGGGGTAAATGCGTTGTACTCTAGCACCAAAAAATATTCATTATTAGAATGTTTTAGAAATGTGATATGACTGAATCATATTCATTTGTTTAAGCTTGATGCCAACCTTTCAGTAGCCAGTCTCACTTTGAGGTTACCACCAGTGGATGCTAACTCACAGTGAATATTTGCTTCATGTTTCAAAACTACAATTAATAGATTGCTTGTTAGCTACTATGGTTACCTGGCAATTATAATGAGATATTCATCCCCCGCAACACACACCTGTAGCATTGACCACGCCCATTTGGGCATGGTCATAGGTGTGGATGTGACTGGTCAAAATGATTGAATTGGGTCTGGAAAGTCCCTTTTTCGGGTCGTGGAGAGCATCTGGGTGGCAAGGTCTGTATGCTTGAAGCAGGAGCCGAGACTCTCATTCATTTCTTGTGTAAGTTATTTTTTTCCTAATAAAGTCCACTTTATCTTATTGGTCAAGCATCTTAATTTCCACGCCCAATATGATTTCTATGCCCAATAGACAATCTTGTCTCATTCCAGCCACCAACTGCATAATTTTGTTGTATGAAGATGCTTTTTGTAATCATAAAATTATCTTCAACGTACTGAAAAAATTGAAGCTACTATTATTTTTATCTAAAGGAACCTCCCAGCTATATTTTTGTAAACAATTATTTTTCTAACATTCTTCCTCTATTGTTTCCCTCCCATCTTTGTTCCCTCCCTTCCTTCCTAGCTTTTATACTAGAATATTTTTAAATTTATAGGTATCAAAATGAAGTCACTAATACAAAACCTGGAAGTAGAGCCCTCATACACATAGCTCTAAGACAAGAATTATCCAAATAATTCATGAACAGTGGTACTACACCTCAATTAGGCTGCTTATACAAGGATACTTGTGTATTAATGGTTGTCTCCACCAATGATTTTAAGCCCACTTGTACAAAAATCACCAATAATCAACGCTTTTTTTGTTTCAACATAGCTTACATGAACCTCTCAGTTTTGTCTTTAAAAGCTTTAGGCAGGCCACACCAGTCAGCAGAACAGGTGAGTGACATGTCTGCCAGCAGAACTGCCCCACTCCCTAGATTGTTTTCCCAAAGACCAACCCCACAGCCTGCACTAAACTGTCAAGTGTCCTGCAGCCAGGCCCTAGCCTCAATACCAGCTAACTTCTGGGCTTCTGATGATCAGATGCAGGCTACATCAGTCAGAAAAAGAGGAGCATGCCACACTAATCAAAAGAACAGAGACCTACTTCATGCACCAAAGGCCAAGCTAACTGCCAGAAGGCCAGCTTCTAACTTAGAAAGAGATTCCCTACTAGAACATTATCAGCCTTGAGGAAGGAGATAGATGATGCTTATGTGTTTTATTTATTCACCATATAAGCAGATAACTTATTCATCAGGGTCAAAGTACAAGGACTTGGGAGTCTTATCCTAACAGCCCTGAGCAGGAGCAGAAGTAGGGGTTTATAAGCACAAAATTCACAAATATTGACTGCCAAGTTACAGTTTTCACTGAACAGGATTTAGATATTAGGGGCTTCCTAGACTGTTCCATCATTGTCAATCAATATAAAAGGCAAGTGTTTTTTTGATACAAGCAATCAGATTCATTTGTTCCTTCTGTTTTGGGGAACAATCATAATGTTGCTAGCGAACTAAAGATGCAAAACAACTATTTTTATGATTTTGGGAAAGAGGATGATTAGCCATTGGAAAGTTCTCAGCTCCCCTAGGGCTTAGGAACCTGCACTGTATTTCATCCTACAGGTAAAAATGGAATCTGAAGTAAAACTGGCAGCACTCAGGCACTCAGATCAACAATTAACAAATGGGGCATCATGACACCGAGAGGCTTCTTTAAGGCAAAGGACACTATCTAAAGGACAAAACGGCAGCTTATAGAATCAGAAAATCATCTTCACGTACCTCATATCTGACAGATTTCCAAAATGTATAAAGAACTCAAGAAATTAGAGATAAGAAACAACCAAATAATCCAATTAAAATGGCATACAGATCTAAACAGAGAATTCTCAACAGAGTAATCTCAAATGGCTGAGAATCACTTACAGAAAAGTTGAATATCATTAGCCATTAGAGAAACACGATTAAAACCACTCTCAGATTCTATCTTACATCTATCAGAATTGCTAAGATAAAAATTACAAATGATATATCATGATGGAAAGGATGTGGGGCAAAGGGAACACTCTTCCACTGATGGTGGAAGTGCAAACATGGACAGCCACTGTGGAAATCAGTATGGCAGTTTCTCAGGAAAATTGAGAATAAATCTACTTCAAGTCCCAGATATGACATTGCTGGCCATATACCCAAAGGAATCTCAATCATAAACAAGGACACTTGCTTATCTATGTTCATAGAAGTTACATTCATAATATCCAGCAACTGGAAACAACCTAGATAATCCCTCTACTGATAAATAGCAAAAGAAAATGTGGTATACTTATACCATGGAGTTTTACTCCGATGTTAAAAACAATGACACCATGAAAATTGCTGGCAAATGGATGGAACTAGAAAAAAATCATCCCGAGATAGGTACTCCCTATACCCAGGAAGACAAACATGGAATTTACTCACTTACAAATGGATATTTGGAGTAGAGTATAGGATAACCATCCTATTATTCACAGCCCCAGAGAGGCTAGATATAAAAGAGGACCCAAAGGGGGATGCATGGATTTCCCTTGGAAGTGGAAATAGAGATCTTCTGGGTAAACTGGGGTTAGGGAAGGTGGACAGAGGGATGTGTTGGGTGGGCTTAGTGTGGGAGGTGGGCTGGAGGTGGGATACGGGAGAGTGTAGGAAAAGATGTGGGTCATTTTTTGGGTTAGGGAGAAGCCTGGTACCAAGGAAACATCCAGGAATCTACAAGGATAACCCTAGCTAAGACTCCTGGCAATAGAGGAGAGGGTGCCTGAACTGGCCATCTACTATATTCAGATTTGTAACTACCCTAATTGTCATCAGAGATAACTCTATCCAGTAACTGATGGAAGCAGATGTAGAGATCCACAGTCAATCACTGGGCTGAGCTCTGGGAGTCTTGCTGAAGAAAAAGAGGAGGAATTGTATGAGCCAGGTGGGTCATGACTAGGAACCCACAGAGATAGCTTACCTGAGCTTGTGGGAGCTAATGGACTCTGGACCAACAGCTACAGATCCTCTGTAGGAGTTACCTAGGATCTCTGCATGTGTGTGACAGTTGTGTAGCTTGGTCTCTTTGTAGAGTTCCTAATAGTTAGATCAGAACCGGTGTGTGGAGCTTAGCTGACTTTTGAGAACCTGTTTTGCATGCTGTATTTCCTTGCTCTGGATGCAACTTGTGGTGGATTACATAGTCAAGACAGTTGATATTTGGAAACAGCTTTTTTTAGGTTTTTATGCAAAAACACAGACCTCCAGGGGTGGGTGCATAACTACTCAATTTCAAATTGTCATTAGCCTCCTGCTGTGTTGAGCTCCTCCAGAGTACAGTATTCAGGTAAGTTTCCTCCTATCCATATACAGGGAATCGGATGATCCTCATCATGTGCTTGTCAGGGAGAGACACTGATCAGATCGCAGTGCTGACAAAGATGTTCATAGAAATATTTAGTTAATTACTAAGATTGCTGTTAACTTAATTGTACCCTTATTATATGACCATGGCAGTTTTTTTCTTTTTGACATAGCTAGACTACAACTAGGAAACATTGTTATCTACTATGTGAAGGGGAAATTAATCATTATAAAGTGGAATCTAATCCTATCTCCAGAGAATTGAGGTTTTGTACTTGTACACTTTGCCTGTCTACTTAACTGTGATTCTCTCATAACATATGGGTCCTCTGAAGCAGCAAACAGATATCCATAGGATGTCCTTCACTCGGAGAGAAACTGACCTTGAATATGCCATCAGCTGGCAAAGTAATGATCCCACTTCCTGTCTAAACTGGATATTTATTTGCTCAGAAATGTCTGTAATAGAACAGAAATAAAGCAAAAATAGTGAAAATCACTGAACCAACAAGGCTTGAGTTAACAACACCACCAACACAATAATATGCAGGCCATGCATTGTAGACATTATTTCAAGCCATTCCTTAATGTTTTGACCGCCCTACAATGTTGTTAGGGCAAAATGGCATGAAAGTAGAGAGCCAATTATTTCCTGTGAGAAAATCTAGTTGAAGCAAGACTTCTTATTCTCTTACTATTTATATTACAGTATCTTATTTGTGTTTTACTGTGGCAACTGTAAAATATTCTATTTTAGCTCATTGTTACTAGAGAAGACCAAAGGTGGAGTCTTGATCTTTGATGCTTATAGTGTAGTTTTCACAGTTTGTAATTTAGATGAACTTATAAAATCCTTGATTTTAAGGCATGATGAACTTTATATTCATAGCATCAACCACAGACTTATAACTCCATAAAAGTACACGAGACTTCATTGCTTTAGCACAGTGCATCACTCTTGGCCTGTCATTTTTTATTTTCATAAACTTTATTTTATTGTGTCTTTGGAAAGATTAACTTAACATATTTTTACCATGTGTAAAATGACAGCTATTACACAGAAACAAAGAACTTGAAAATAAGGATATCATTAGGTATATTCATTATATATCATCATATATAAATTTTGGCTGTGTACTCTGATCTTTTTATCAACCTGTATTTTTATATTTTTTTCACAGAAATGTGGTTCTATAACCCTTCTTCCCCCTGAACTCAATATGGAAAAGATTTCCCACAAGATTTACTACTCTTATATCATTTGTTAATGTTGTATAGTTCCTGACTGTAGGGATATTTGATTTATTGCACAGACTTTCCACCTTCTATTATTTTGTGGTATTATAAATAGTGCTGTTATAATACTGCTGTTTAAAACTATCAGAAAAAAATGGCCACAATAGTCTGTAGTTTCCTTAATACAGAGGTTTGTATAATCTGTTTCTCAATTCCTGAATCTGATCTTGGCCATAGGATCTGCTTCCTTGACCACAGGATCTACTTTGCTCAATGGGGACACTAGCAAATATGATGGAACAAGAGTCTGGAAGATGATAATCCATGCCACCTTTTTGTTTACAAAAATCCCAAGGCCCCTCTATGAATAATACTTTGGTTTATTTCTAAAAGAGGAGAAGCTACATAAGGCTTAGCCATCCCAGATGAAGTTAAATGTACAAAGGAGGCCATTTTATATATTCTAGACATCCAGCTTCTGCAGAGTTGTCCTAGTCCTCAAGAACCAGCTGACCAAACCACAGAACTTTGTTATGGATTGAAAATTAATTGATACAAACATCCTTTGGATGATACTATTTTCCAACAAAGTTTTTTAGATGTAAACCTTTTGGATTAGTGTGTAAACACTTTAATGAATACTACTGAAAATATCTCAATATATAAACAGTATACAAAAGTGACCAATTCCCTATTTTTGCCAGTAATGATTATAAGTACTTTTATATCATTACCACATTGTCTTTGTAATTGTTTTAATATCTCATTTTAAACATTTCTTGAGATAATCATGTAACATGCATATTATTTCATTTAACAACACTGGCATTCATATAATATGAAAAACAAAATGTTAGCGAATACTAGTGGAAAATGTGTTACATTTGGAACATTTGTTTAATGATGCAAAAATGTATTGCATTCTTTTATGCTGTACCTGTTTAACTTGTTGACTGTACTACTTTGCCTGTCTAAAACACGCGGTTTGTCTAGTAAAGGGCTGAACAGCCAATAGCAAGGCAGGAGAAATGATAGGTGGGGCTGGCAGGCAGAGAGAATAAAGAGGAGGAGAAATCTAGGAAGCAACAGGAGAAGCAGAGGAAGACTCCAGAGTCAGCAAGCCACAGAGTAAGAAGTAAAAGAAAGGTATGTTGAAAAGAGAAAGACAGAAGCCTAGAGGCAAAAGATAGACGGGATAATGTAAGTGGGAAAAAGCTGGGTAAAAAGAAACCAAGCTAAGGCTGGGAATAGACTGTCTCTATGTGTATTTATTTGGGAGCTGGGGGGCAGGCCCTCAAAGAGAAAAGAAGAAAATACCCAACAACAATAAAGATCTACTTTAATCATGTTAAAATTATTTTAATTAATTAATTTTGTGGTGGGGCAATCTAAGTGGCACAGTGCACCTGTGAAGGTCAGGGGATATTTTGAGAGTTGGTTCTTGGTTCTTCTACCTTGATTTTGAGGCAGGGTATCTTTTGTTTCTGCTGCTGAACTGCATTTATGGAATTCTGGCTTATTCTCTTATCTCTGCCCAGGAATACTGGGATTGCAGAATAAGCTACTGTGTATGCCCCTTTACATGGATTCTGTGGATCAAATTCAGGCCATCATGCTGAAAAACAAGCACCTTTGCCCACTGAGCCATCTCTCCAGCCTGTTTTGCTATATCGTATTATCATATATTAATTATAAGGAATAATAGGTTTTATTTTCACATGTACATGATGTATTTTCAACATGCTCACCCCTCCACATTATTGTTCTTCACTAGCTTAACCTCTAGTCCAGGTCCCTCATCGGCTATTTAAGTCTTAAGTCTATTATTCCACTCAGTTTTTTATTAAAAAACTTGACAATCTGTCTGAGATACCCATTCTAATTTCTACTCCTTCTTTAATACATCTGGAACCAAGATAATGCTCTATTGTAAAGATAAGATGGTAATTGGAATTACAACTAACATTTGCAAGCACAAAATACTTTACAACTGTGCAAAGACGTAGCCAGGAGTTAGTAGAGGAGGTAAGTGAGATGGTCATTGTAATACTGATGTGAAATTCATTTATCACACAGCATGAGTAGCAATTTTTCTACTCAACTGACTGAATTTTAATTAACAGAAATTCAGAAGAGGCCAAAAAAACAATTGGTTGAAAAAGACTCCCCCCCTACACATGCAAATAAATACATGGGGGATTCACACCCACATGTGGAAAGAGGTAGAAAGAGAGAATGAATATGCCATTTTTACATTTTCAGAAAATGATTTGAGAGACGCAGAATTATAAGTGCTCCTTACATTACAAAGGCTTTTTAGATATTTTAGTGCAAAATAGCAGTAACACTAGGAAAATGACAATGATTGTTTTGTTGATGATTTGTAGTTCCCTATCTAGCACCTATAACTCATTATGATGAAGTATATTTTAAGTATGTGTTGTTAGTACTGAAAGAGTAATAAAGGGTTTTTAAAAGCAGTCATTAAGAATCTTATTGAAACAAAATATAAACAAAAAACCCACATTAAATTAATGAGTTCACTTGTGGTTGGCCAACTACTCCTGGGCATAAGGCCTGCCTTGGAGTGCATTTGATATAGACAGTAACACTCCACTGGAGAAAACAGACAGATTTTCCCATTGATAATGGGCATCAAGTACAAATAGTTTCGTGGTTTGGACAAGTAACCCCATGTCCACTCTCACATCTCAATGATGGGAACCTGAGTAGGTCCTGTGCATACTGCCACAGCGTTCGAAAGACATCCGTGCTGGCTAATTTTATGCCAACATGACACAATTATAGTTATCTGAGAAGAATTCCTTGACTGAGAAAGTTCCTTCACAAAATGGGGTTGTAGGCAGACCCGTTGGACATTTTCTTAATTAGTGATTGATGAGGGATGGCCTTACCTACTATGGTTTGTGCCATACCTGGGTCCTGGTGGTCCTGGATTTTACAAGAAAGCAAGTTGCAAAAGCCAGGAGAAGCAATCCAGTAACATCTCTCAATGACCTCTGCATCAGCAACTGTCTCCAGGTTCCTGTCATGTTTAAATTCCTGTTCTGACTTTTTCCAATGATGAAAAATGGTGTGAAAGTATAAGTTAAATAAACATTTTCTTCACAACTTGCCTTTGATCATAGTGTTTCATCATACTAATAGTAGCTCTAACTAAGACAATAGCTAAGCAGTTGAGAGTGCCTACTGCTTTATCAGAGGACAAAAATTTAGGTCACTGCACCCACATTGGGCAGCTCATAAACACCTATATCTCCAGGTCCAAAGTATCCAGTACCTCCTTCTTGCTTCCATGGACACCCACACACAGATACATACATACACACAGAGAATTCTTTATTTAGTTATGTACATCACTATTTAATTGGATTATTTTGTGTTTTGGTCACTAGCTTCTTGAGTTCTTTGTATATTTTGGAAATCAGCCCTCTGTCAGATGTGGGGTTGGTGAAGAATTTCTCCCATTGTGTGGGCTGCCATTTTGTCTTGTTGATTGTGTCCTTTGCTTTACAGAAGCTTCTCAGTTTCAGGAGGTCCAATTTATTAATTGTTGATCTCAGTGTCTACACTACTGGAGTTAAGTTCAGGAAGCAGTCTCCTGTACCAATTCTTTCAAGGCTACCACCTACTTTCTCTTCTAAGAGGTTTCAGTGTGGCTGGATTTATGCTGAAGTCTTTGATTCATTTGGACTTGTTTTTTTCATGGCAATAGATATGGATCTGTCTGCAATGTTCTACATGCCAGCATCCAGCTATGCCAGGACCATTTGTTGAAGATGCTTTCTTTTTTCCATTGTATACTTTTAGATTATTTGTCATAAGTCAGGTGTTCTTAGGTGTGTGGGTTAATATCAGTGTTTTCAATTTGATTACATTGCTCTACTCATCTATTTTTGTGCCAATACCAAGCTGTTTTCAGGAGTATAGCTCTATAATAGAGCTTGAAGTCAGGAATGGTGATGCCTACATGAAGTTCCTTTATTGTACAGGGTTGTTTTGGCTATACTGGGTCTTTTGTTTTTGCATATAAAGTCGAGAATGGTCTTTCCAATCTTTTGAGAGAAATAGAGTATTTTTCAGTTGACCTTATATTGTCAGGTTGGACACAGAGCAATAGAGAATCATAGAAACACAAACAACAGGTGTAAAATCACGCTCAGGCCTCCTTCTCCACATTTTCAAACTCAGGTATTCATGTC